GGCACTGGGTTCAGGGTCAATTCTGGAGTAAAACTAAGTGTTGAGGTTACCTATAGGATAGGGAGCAAATCTAGAGAGAACAAACTTGTGAGTTACAAATAGAAGGGCTTTGAGGGTGTTGCTTTCAGATTTACTAGGGGAGAGGGTGGCAGAAGGTGGCCTAGATAACATTCTCTGGATACTGTAGGCATTCTTTTTTTATTTTTTTCCTTCCCCACCCAGGGGCCAGATGGCACAATCTGGGGACTGAGGAGCTCACCCTGAGGGCCACGACGGCTCGCCCCTAACCGGGGGCCGAGGGTAGCCTGCCCCGGGCAGAGGGCCGCGATGGCTCGCCCCAAGCTGGGGGTGAATTTCAGTAATCTTTTAAGTTTCTGTTAATAGTTTTATTTTCAAGTCTTTGTGTGAGGTATGTGCCTTTCACTGAAGAAAGATTACAATATCTATACTAATTCTGGTGTCTTGAATTTTATGTTACTTTTTGGATTTTAAGCACAGTTTTAAAAATAGTATTTTTATGGATTTAATCATAAAAGATTCTGCAAGTATATTCTTGAGATGGTGAGTAACGCGGCTGTGAATTGATATACAGATGTGTCTCAGTTCTAATTTCCTTCGGGTATATTCCAAGCTGTGGAATACCTGGGTTATTCGGAGTTTCTGTTTTCAGTTTTTTGAGGAAGCACCAAACTGCCTTCCAGAGTGGTTGTTCCATTTTACAATCCCACCAACAATGTAATAAGAGTTCTCACCTCTCCACATCCTCTCTAACATTTATTACTTGTCTAACCTGCTAACCTTTGCCATTGCTACTGGGGTGAGATGGTATCTCATTGCGGTTTTGATTTGCCTCTCTCTTATTGCCAGTGATTTTGAGCATTACTTTATCTTGTCTGTTAGTGTGTATATATTCCTCTGTGAAAAGTCTTTCCATGTCTTCAGCCCAAATGTCCGAACACAACAGAATGGATTGAGAAATTGTGGTACATTCACACAATGGGATACTATGAAGTACTCAAGAGCCATGATTTCGAAAAATACTACATACATTGGGAGAGACTGGATAGCTTTATGCTGAGTGAACAAACTCAGTTTCATAAGGAAAAATACTACATAAGACCATTATTGTAAAAATAGAAGGATAACTAGTAAAACATGCATGGAGATACAAGGGGTGGGGGGGAAGAGGTGAGAACAGAAGGGTGAGGATGTATAGGGGCAAAATCACAGGGTTTCACAGTTTGGTTTATTGAGGGAGTAACGGAAATGGGAAAGATAAGGTGAGGACCTGAAAAGACAAGGTAATATTGGGCATAGTCCAATGGTGATTAATTTTATAAAATGGAATGAATAAGAATGATTGTATGAAATACAATGTGAAGGAAGAATAGTGTGAAACACAATGTATATGAACTTTGTAAGGAAACCAAGGTGGTTCTTGTTGTTGTTGTATGCCATCAAGTCACCTGTGACTCATAGAAACCCTATCTACAATAGCCCTAAACCCTGCTCTATCCTGCGCCAATCTTACTGTCTCTGACACACCTACCTACATTACCCCACTCACTGAATCAATCCATCTCATCGAGGGTCTTCCTCTCTTGTGCTCTC